TACATAAGAAGCTTATGTGTACATATAACACAAATTTGATGGGGGGTATCTGAGATAAACCTTATAAAATCTTAGTTAATGAACGAGTGTTGCGCTCCTCACCATGTTCTCTCTCGCTGCCCTGTTGGAAAGGCCGGACGCACCGCGTGCTCACAAAAAGTAGCTTCCGGAGAATTTCTTCTTCGCTGGTTTTATCTTACTTTGACACCATACAAACAGCGCCACCAACAGGCGGAAAAAAGGTTCAATTAATGACGTATGATGGCTCTTCAAATCAGCTTCTCTGCAACATAAAGCATACCTGACATATAGCTACCCTTTGTACCTGATTATTTACTTTTTTTTTGTTTGAAAATATTATCTTGATGCATGAGTAAATTTCGATGACAGATGGTGCATAAAGATGTTTTTTTCAATCAGAATCAGAATACTTATTTAATACTTTACCAATCAGAAAATTTACCATTCAGAATATTAGAATATTAACACAAGGGAAAATAGGTGTACTTAAAAGCACCGATTATGGCACTTTAAATTAAAAAAAGGAAATTACAGTCCACAGTGAATCTCCCTAAATATCTGTTATCTGTTATGTTAAGCAGATGCTGTTTTTATTTGATAAATGACATGACTGATGTTTACATACCTAAAAAGCCAGTAATGTGAATAACAACTCTGACCGTGGCCAGATAAAGGTTCAGACATCTGACAGCTGCAACATTTTTCTTCAGATGTCTTACATAGGAAGACTGCAGTCTGTGCAAATGTAGTGAATATGACAGTGTGACTGTGCTGATCACACGTTAAGCGTTCTTTTCCAACATTTAATGTAGCGACAGCAGTTATTGAAATCTTAACATGTAAAGCCTTGCTCTGTGCTCTCTGCTTTGGAAAACAAAATACATGAAAGTCACTGACCTCATTGTTCTTTTTAAATGTCTTCAGTATATTATACTAAAACTGATGTATAATATGAATGTCAAACCTTTCTAGATCTTGATAGCAGTTGCAGAGTAACCCTTTCCTCTCCTTCACTTTTGTCAGTTAACATTCTGACAAAATTGGCTATATTATTTCAGTTCTATTAGGGGAGGCAGTACCTGCCTTGAGCAAGGCACCGAACCCCCCAACTGCTCGGGGAGCCTGACCAAGGGCAGCCCCCTCACTCTGACATCTCTCCACTTTGTGCATGTATAGGTCCTGTTTGTGCATGTGTGTGTCTTTCAGACCTGTGTGTAATTGACAAGCAAGAGTGAAAACATTGAATTTCCCCTCAGGGGGATTAATAAAGTAAATAAACTTCTACTCAAAATTAGTTTAATTTTTTTCAGGGTAAGAAGTACAAGCCCCTGGATCTGAGACCCAAAAAGACTAGAGCTCTGCACCGCCATCTCAACAAGCTCAAAGAGTGTCTGTGGTCCAAGAAACAGCAGAGGAAAGGCCTCCTCTACTCCATCTGCACAGTCAAAGCTTAGAGGCTTTAACTAGTAAGGGATGTGCCCAAGAACCAAATGGTTACTCTGGCTGAGTTCCAGAGATCCTGTGTGAAGATGGAAGAAGACAGAAGGACAACCATAAATGCAACATTCCACCAAACTTAGCTTTACAGCAGAGTGGCCAGGTAGAGGCCTCTGCAGAAAGAGGCATGAGAATCCGCTTTGAGACTAAACAAGATTCTCAACAAACAAGATTTATTAAGCCTCAGTTCTAAGTGTCACGTCTGGAGGAAACCAAGCACCGCTCAGCAGCTGCCCAGTACCATCCCAACGGTAAAGCATGGTGGTGGCAGTATCATGCTATGAGTGTGTTCTTCAGCAGCAGGGACTGGGGGTCTGGTCAGGGCTGGGGGAAAGCCTGGGCCCAAGGCTCAACTTCCAACAGGACAACGACCCTATGCATGCAGCCAAGACAACGCAGGAGTGGGTGAGAGAACTGAAAATGGCCATTCACTACCAGTCCCCATCCAACCTGACTGAGCTTGGGAGGATCTGCAGAGAAGCATGGCAGAAAATCAAATCCAGGTGTTAAAAGCTTGTCACTTCAAAGACTCCAGCCTGTGATCGCTGCCACATATGCTACTACTAAACAGCTTCTGAGTCAAGGGTCTGGATACTTTATGTTGATAGGATATTTCGGAATAATCTTTTAAATGAATTTGCAAAAACAATCTACGGTTCTGTTTTTGCTTTGTGATTACACATTACTGAGAGAAGACTACTGAGTGGAAAAATAAATATACGTTTTCAGCATCAGGCTGCAATTCAACAGTAAGAAAGTTAAGTGGTCTAAATGCTCTGAGCCTTACAACATGAAAAATGCATGTTCATAGTTTATTCTCTATATTTTGCAATTTAAGTTTTTTACCCAAATTGAAAACCAAACAGGATTTAGGCAACATTATCAGCAATAAACACAAAAACTGAAATGGTCTGATACTGTATTGAGAAAAATATGTCTTGATAAAACATGAACAAATGTGTTATTAGAATAAATAAAATCAGCCCTGTCATTGTCTGTCCGGGGTGTACCCTGCATCTCACCCAACATCATCTGGGATCAGCTCCAGCTCCCCTGCGACCCTCTAAAGCACAAGCAGGTATAGCTACTGAATGGATGGACTGTGTATAACAGAACATGGAAACATTTGCTTTCCCAGCAAAACACAGGATTTGGATTCAGAGGGCATGATTTAACCATTTCAGATTTATTATTAATAAATGTGGGAAAAGGAAATCTGTGTAGTGGCAGCAGTTGTTAAATCATAAAAAGCAAAAGACAGAAAAGCTGTAGTGATTGTACAGCTGTATGTCAGGGTTTAACACAGCAAAATTAATCAGGTTAAAAAGTGCGTTCATTGTTTCTTTTGATTCTCATGGAGATAGATATATTACCCAGCAGAATGTGGGTGACTACATCAGTCTGCTACCTGTCATTCGTAACACATGATGACAGCTCTGCATTTAAAGATGTACTCCTGCATCCCTATATACAGATAATGTACTCAGCAGTTACAACTTCAAATGTCAGTAAAACAACAATCACACCTTAAATACAGTTTCCTGTGATTTATAATCTTATGCAGACAGCAACCCCATGGATTTCTACTTCATATTAGTGGAATGAATGAATACAAATGCCTTTAGAAATGAAGAGAACTGTAAAAGACAGACCAGGCTGCTTTAGGGACTCAACAATGCAGTTTAACAGCAAACATGCAATTTCCCTGGGCTTCCATCTGAAAAATAAACCTCATCATGTTCAGTCAGTGAGTGACATCACACTGAGGAAGAGGGATAGTGATGGGCAGTGGAACTCAGTGACAACCCAAGGCAGAAACACATACGGGTTCTGTTCTATGATGATGATGATGATGATGATGATGATGATGATGATGATGATGATGATGATGATAAATACTGCAAACCGTTCACATCAAACCATTTATATCCACTGATTTGTAAAGTTCTCAATGCATACAGTATGTACAGATTTCTATATATAAATAGACATGTGGAATGTACTTTCATTTACATTAGCAAAGGCAGATAAAGGTAGAGCATGTCCTCCAGTTATCATTTACATAGCATTCACTTATTTTATCACATATATTATCCAAATGGACAACTGCAGGCTAAATCATTCAGATTGGTGCTTAAGCACCATCTGTGCATACAGACTGCATCAGCTGTGGTAGCCATTTTTGTTCCTCCAGTAGCAGCAATTGAGAAAAGAGACTTTTTGTTTTTTACCCTGACCTGAGCCTCCAATGCAGCACTTCACAGCTTTGTATATACACGATCCCACAACAGGCTCTACTTGTCAAATGTTTTTTAACTTATATGTGGTTTAGGTTAGGGACATGGTTACATTTGGGTCTACCTATCCAGGTGACAGAAGGATTAGAGAGCAAGGTCTGCTGGGAGGCTCAACCCATAGTAATAACAGTCCAATGGCCAAGCAGTTAGGCTTTGATACCCATTTAAATGAGCTGCTGAACTACTGTCCAGCCAATTTCAGTATATATTGTATGTTAGCGGACAGGCCACCATTACATACAGAGAGCACTGATATACAGTATGTCCCTAATATGTTCCTTGGTCCCAATTCTTTATTAACCAAATTTAAAGGATCCTTATTAGAAGAAAATTTTACTTGCAAAATGACCATTTGTATATCAGTTACTCACCCCGTGCTTCCCTAAATTTGAGAAGAAAAATTCGTCTTGCATGCCTTCATGGTAGACAGAGAATCCAAAAAAGGGGAACATTCTTTATGAATTGAAGTAAATGCTTTAACAACAAAACAGTATCAAACATCTGTTCACAAACTCTCACACTACTCGTTCAGTATAATCTCTAACAGTCTCATTTATCCACTCATACGCTCAAACACATGCATCTTTGCTCAAATGATTTAAAACACGTCAGTACAGTCTCATGCATGGCTGGTAAACATGCCTGGGCACATGCATGCATTTGAACCCTGCTCAAGAAAAGCTCAATATGCGTGAGTGTGCCCAGGCACGCCCAGGGCACGCTCCTCACAGGCAGAAAGCATTTTTTATTTTAACATTTTTTGTGAAAATGCATGTGTTTAAGAAGTACTGGGCACACAACTGAAAAATGAGACTTATACTGCATGAGTTGTGTGAATTTGTAAACTGATGTTCTGATATAGTTTGGTTATTGTTAAATATGGTCCCCAATGACTTCAGTTTAAAGAATGTTCTTTTTTGGATTCTCTGTTCACCGTGGAGGCTAATGAGAAAAATAAAGTAATTTCCGCAAATCCAAGGTAACGCACGGTGAGTAACTGATAAACAAATTATCATTTTGTGGGTCAAGTAAGCTTTTATCAAAAATGTTTATTTGTATGTGACTATATA